GATATCATTAAAATAACGAACTTCTTGCTTTCCCCCAAATGAATTATTAACATTTAAACAAACAAACCTTTTATAAATGATTATTATAAATCACTCTATTTGTTATAACATTAAATTTTGCTATATTGATATTCCCTTAGAAATATAAGAATATAGAAACAAAGGTCCATCTTTGAAAATAGAACCAATGCACCTTTTTAAATGAATAAATAATGATTTTGACACAGGTCCCCCCTTTGAAAATATCAATATAGTGAAATTTAGTGTGCTCATTAAAAAATTATGTGCAATACATATCTAATTGGACAAGATATATTGATTTATAAAACAAATATAATTTCAATTACATACTAAATGGATAAACATATCAATGCATGAACATATTCTGGCAAGTCGTATTATGGCACCTTTGGTCATGACACTGGCTCATTTATGAGCGCTACTTGCGGGTCTACCATCTTTCCATTAAGTGGGTCTTTGAGCCAATACGCACCCCATCACTCATCACTTCTGCCTCTTCAAATGGTCCTCTTTATTTCGTTTGCAGTTTTCCAGTGATACCTTGTTCAAACATTTCCTTTTTACAAGTACAAACGCACCTATTTCGAGCTTTACGTTATGGCATCCTAAATTCATCTGAGCGAGTTACTCTTTCAGCCTAACTTCTATCATTTCCTTCACAATCTTGTGTGCCGTTACCACATTATCACTGTCTGGTTCAGTCTGTGGTAAGCTTCTACAACCTGCTAAACAGGGTGGCACCAGTGGTCCCATGAGTAGCCCTATTCAATCCATATTTACTAATTCTAACCTTGCTCACTGCTAATAATACACTTTCAGCAAAAACAAATTTCTAATGGAGACTCTTGTGGCTATATTCTCAACCGCATCATTTTGTCAGGTTTGACATTTGCTCGTAAGTGATAACCTTGGAGCCAAGCAGAGGTGTAGGAGGGTATCTACTTTTCTTCCCTTGCCAGTTTCCGGATGATTTTACCATTGGTAGTTTTTCCGTTTAGCCCAGCCTTTCTTGGTAGGCTTAATCGTTAACTCTTGGTTGCTGTTCTGGCTCAGGAGAAGGCTGGTCCTGCATGTTGGACATGCCTGCCGGCCGCTTGTGCAGGTTCCTCCCAAGGGGTGAGTCTTCCTTAACTGCTTTCCTTGTGTTGGCATTTATACCTATGCACTGCTCTGCACATCCATAATCATCTCATTACTGTATCCAACACTTCTTGAGCCATGTATGACACCAATGAAGTTTATAACGTTCATTTTTTTTTTATCATACTAACAAGAAACAAACAATACCACCGCTGCCACCAATGTAAAGCAACAAATTTTTCATAGTGCCAAATTTATCATATATTTTTTTCTATTCTAATGTTTTCGTATCATTTTCATATTAATGAGTTCTTCATATGCCAATTTAATTAAATGTAGGCTTATTTTAACTGTATTTACTATACTGTTAAATCTTTAAGGCTTGTGGGTGTGGAAATGAAATGATTCCAAAGTTGAGTGTGCCTATTATCATAACTGTCATTGAAACATTTTTAACCCTTCATATTTTATTCAATAAACAAATTATGAACAGGTGGCACATCATTCTATATTGCTTAATTAAATAATAATTTAAGCAATATTCTCAAATAATTCAATTCATATCTAAGGTTAATTCTATACCCTCCATTTCCTATTAATTATGAATATATAACATTCCAATAAACAAAATTAAAATACAAGTGAGACGGAACCATGACCCTCACACCCATATATATATATATATATATATATATATATATATATATATTATATATATATATATTATATATATACACACACACACACACACACACACACACACACACACACACACACACACACACACACACACACACACACACATAATATATATATATACTGTAAATATCTCTTTGGTTTTATTCAAAAGAAAGCAATGCAAGAAGCGATATATACGTGCTCTGCATTGTGAAATTCTTCATTCTCACGAATACCTGTGTATATATACTTTATTCAATCGGGTTTCTCTGTATTTGTCCGTGTTCCAATCTATTTTTTTTTAAATCTTCATGGTTTCGCTCAATCTGTTTGTTTGCCATTCTCTCTCTCTTCCTTTCCCCTTTTCCCCTCTCTCTCTATAAGAGTTTAGCATCGCGAAGTCCTCAGTCCTGGGACATAAGTCCGTGGCGTCCGGCACCTGTTGACAGCAGAGCCATCTGTTGAGCGAAGGCAGAAGCTTTGTTTAGAATTCAGAAGGGACGTGTCGCCTTTGACCATTATTTACCAGCAATAGTGTCCTTCCTTTGGATATTCCCTTCCCTCTCGTCGCTCTCTTAGTCTTCCTTTCTCAATTGATCCGTTATTTTCTTTGGTATTTCTAAACAGCTTGTTGTCGTATCACTGTTTTTCCTTCACGTCTTTCTATAATTTCCTTTCCTTTTTATGCCTTCTAACAAAAACTGAAATTACGAAAGCAACTAGAGCGACCGTAAACAAGAAAGAAGCGGAGGGAGAAGCCAGGTGGTGAGTGTAGCCAAGGCAACCTGCCAGTGGCAAAAAAGGCATGATGAATACACGGCAAGAGAGAGAGAGAGAGAGAGAGAGAGAGAGAGAGAGAGAGAGAGAGAGAGAGAGAGAGAGAGAGAGAGAGAGAGAGAGAGAGAGAGAAGGAGGGGGGGGGTAGGGAAGGAAACAAGAGAGGGGGACGGTGAGAAAGGGATTGATTAAAGTTAGATGGTGGACGGGAAGGGTAGGAGGCTCTCTCTCTCTCTCTCTCTCTCTCTCTCTCTCTCTCTCTCTCTCTCTCTCTCTCTCTCTCTCTCTCTCTCTCTCTCTCTCTCTCTCTCATATATATATATATATATATATATATATATTTTACATAGACATCTGTATATCTATTTATCTTTATATATACGTATGTAAGCTATGTATATGTGTACATAACTTTGACACATGCTGTTACATTGATCGTGATACATGTATACGTTCATACATATGTGCATACACACACGCATATGTGTATGTGTTATGTATGAACGTATACATGTATTAAAATCCATGTAATCGCCTGTATCAAAGCAGCGACCACTTGGTAGGCGACCAGAGACACTTCAGAAAAAGGAGGGAACGAAGATTGGAAGGAAGCAGAATGTAGAAAAAGGAAATGGAAAGTGAAAGAGGAGAGGAAAGCGAAGAAGAGTCGGGGCGCAAGGAGGAAGGAGAGAAAGGAAAGAGAGGAGAGCCTCCTCGGCCAGCACCTCCTCCAAAGGCCAAACACGCTAACACCATCAATCCTTTTACCGGAAATTGACCCATAAGTCCATAACGAGTAAGGTCGGTTGTGCTCAGAATGTGTAAACGATATTGGCTTGTTTTGATTGAGCGAGACATAACACTGTTAAGAGGTTAGAGAGCGGTTGAGTGCTTTTGGAAGAGGGGTGGGTGGGCGGGGGGATGTGGAGGAGGAAGAGGGGCAGGTGGAGGAGAGGAGGAGGGGGGAGAGGGGCAGGTGGAGGAGAGGAGGAGGAGGAAGAGGTCGGGTGAAGGAGAGGAGGAGGAAGAGGGGCAGGTGGGGAGAGGGGAGGAGGAGAGGGGCAGTGGAGGAGAGGAGGAGAGGAAGAGGGGCAGGGGTGGGGGAGGGGAGGAGGAGGAGGAAGAGGGGCAGGGAGGGAGGAGGAAGGAGACAGGATGAGAGGGGCAGGAAGAGTGAGAGTGGAGAAGGGGCAGGAGGAGGAAGAGGGCAGGTGGGGGAGAGGAGGAGAGGAAAGGGCAGGGAGNCCTCTCTCTCCCTTTCCTTCCCTCGCCTCCCTCTCTCTTCCCTTTCCGTTCCTCCCTCCTCTCTCCTCCCTTTTCCTCCCGCCCTTCCCTCTCTCTCCCTTCTCCCCTTCCTCCTTCCTCCCTTCCCTCTCTCTCCTTTTCCTTCCCTCCTCCCTTCTCTCGCTCTTTTTCTACTCCCTCCCTCCCCCCCCTCTCTCCCTCCTCCTTCTCCTCCCCCTCCTCTCCTCCTCCCCCTCTCCCCCCCCCCTCCCTCTCCCTCCCTCTTCCCTTCCCTCCCCCGCTCTCTCCCTCCTTCCCTCCCCCTCTCCCTCCCTTTCCCAACTCTCCCGCTCCTCTCCTTCCTTCCCTCCCTCTCTCTCTCTCCTCTTTCCTTTCCTTCCTCTCCCTCCCTTTCTCTCCCTTTCCTTTCCTTCCCTCCCTCCCTCCTCTCTCCCTTTCCTTCCTTCCTTCCTCCCCCTCTCTCTCCCTCCTTCCCTGCTCTCCCTCTTTCTTGCTCGTTCACTCTCTCTCTTTCTCTCTTGCTCGCTCACTCGTTCTCTCTCTCTTGCTCGCTCACTCGTCTCTTCTCTCTCTCTCTCTCTCTCTCTCTCTCTCTCTCTCTCTCTCTCTCTCTCTCTCTCTCTCTCTCTCTCTCTCTCTCTCTCTCCTCTCTCTCTCTCTCTCTCTCTCTCTCTCTCTCTCTCTCTCTCTCTCTCTCTCTCTCTCTCTCTCTCTCTCTCTCTCTCTCTCTCTCTCTCTCTCTCTCTCTCTCTCTCTCTCTCTCTCTCTCTCTCTCTCTCTCTCTCTCAACTTATCTTGTTCTTTCTCTAACTCACTCTCCTGCCCCTACTCCTATTCCTGCTCTCTCTTGGATTTACACTTGCATTCACACTTGCACTCACACAGTCTCTCTCACTCAGTCTTACATGAATGTAATCCTTAACACAAGCTTCTGAAACAGAGGAGCTAAGTCTTTCCTACCTAAATTAACATAAACAATGATTTGTATCTGTTAATGACACAGATGATGAGAATATACTATTTCTGTTGCGTAGAGGAATATATACATATGAATGAGAAAATGATAATGTCTAATCTCTCTTATGTGCCACAGATTATTGATACCAGAGCAATAAGAAAACACTTGATAATGAAGTGAAAAAGTAAAGATATTACGAATTTTCATTAAAATTCTGACAGAATTTGGTAAAACATAAAAATTGCAATTCCATAAACTTTACCTTCTGAGACTGATATATACAAAACATATGATGATTCATAATCTAATCTTCTGTCTCACACCTTTTTGATACAATAAAATAAGAAATTCCAGAAAACATGAGAAGACTTAATTCTCTTAAAACAAGAAAAAGTGATGAAACTAACAGGAAGGAACAGAAAAGAATGAATAAATAATATGTTTAGCAAATTACAGAAAACCAACAACTCAAAATTGTCAAGATCCTTTGCTTTGGTCCATTTGTAAATGGTATTAAACCTACAACTGTCTTATAATATAATAGAAAATAAACCTATGAGACCTAATATGAATGAACATATTTACAAAATGACTAACAAATATTACATCAACAGTAGCAGGTTATCATAGTACATGTATCACAGACCAATTTTCCCTATGCATAATGTATGTATCAAATACATGACTGTAAGGCACTCTGAAAGGCAGATAAAACCCTATAATGAATACACAATCCTCTAAACACGCAATCATACATACAGACATATAAAGCCAAAATTCAATAGCTATATCATTACAATATTCTGTATGATAAAACAACAACAAATATAATTCCCAACAGAAGAGTACATACAGAGAAGAAGAAGAAGAAGAAGACGAAGAAGAAAGAATCTGTAAGACAATAAATGAAATGAAAGGCTTCACCTAAACTTTGATAGGCAACATAATACCTAAAACTTACAAAAATATAATAATGATAGTAATAATAATAAAATAATAATCATAGTAATAGTAATAGTAATAATAATAATAACAATAATAATAATTATAATAAAAACAACAACAAAATGAAAGAGTAAATCAAAATATGTATTACATATTAGCAACAGCAATTTCCTTTCTACCTCATTACATGTTAACAGTCATGTACAGATAAAGAAAGATCATATCACAGCCCTTTTTTGGTAATTCTTATCTTCCTATCAGTGTTTTTCCAGCACCGACTTCAATATATTTATCAACTTCTCCAGTTCCTGCAGAGTGACTTGCAAGAACTGAAGACCGACAGGCGAGGCAGTCATGTGCATGATGTCTTCTGCTGTAAAAGGAAGGTTCGGACACGGCTCCTTTGCCTCAGCCCAGAAGTTGATCAGGACCTCTCCAAAGTTCTGCACTGACTCGGCCGTGGTTTCATTGACACACCTGAAAGAAAGGATAATGTATTAGACCCCAAAGTTTGGGGATACTCAATTGAGGGCAACTGATTGTCAATGGGAGGTAGAGGGTGTGTGGAAATATCTGTTTAGGAGGTTTCTTCCAGATACACCTCCCTAAACCTACTCTTGTTTCCTCGTTCTCTTCTACACCTTGTCTTCCTGAACCAATCATACAACCAGCTCTTAAATGAATCTTTTGACAAGTAAATGTAATAAGTTAAAATTTAGATTTCCTGAATCTTGTATGTATACCCCCCCCACCCCACAAAAAAAAATCCATTCCCCATACCTATTGTAGCTCTTTGTTCCCCTGAACCAATCAAATGAGAATCTCTTGGCACTGTTTCAACCTCTCTTTTATGTGAATGAGCGCAGTCATTGTAAAATAAGGATTCTAATACAAAACCTTTCCCCACAAACAACCCCATATCCTTTGTAACCCTTATCCCAACACCATTTCATCAACATAATGTTTCATATGCTTGCCTCGAGGTTTACAACCTTTTTACTATTAATACAAAGGGAACAGAGCCAGATTTTAGGAAAAATTAAAGGGGATGGGGACTGGATGAAGGTGTAGTTGGTGACAACCTTAACCTGCTGGATCTGCTTGATAGGGATGTGTTATCATGAAAAAAATTAGGCTCAGGGCCTAGGATGAGAGTGTGTGGTGAGATATTGTTGCTGTGTAGCAAGTGATGGGGAAATTTCACCATGAGTACACAAAGCTCTTGGAGGGAGATTAGACTCAGTGGGCCTTTAGAATGGGGCTCTTACATTATTTCCACTGATAAAGGTGGAATGTAGTGTCTGTGAGCCATGTCTGGAGGAGGGCTGGCTCCAGGGAAGACTTTATTTCCATACTTAGGAAGCTATTCCTACCTGCCTTAACTGGTGGTGTTTGGTGTCTTACAGAAAATCAAATATTATGAAAGTATAAAATAATAACACATGCAACAAATTGTTACTGAATGTTATCCTTCTCACAAAACAGCCAAAAATGCATATGCAGAAAAAGTGCTATTAGCATTACAAAGAGGAGGCAAGGAGTCCATATAGTGCACATGAGTGCCTGTGTGGGCTGAGCCTACAAGCCACACACACACACAGGAGAGTCACCACAAAAAAAAAGCCTAATGACCAGATTTTGGTCCATGTATGATCTGCCAGGCACACACAGATCCAATTGGTTAATAAATAAATAAATAAATATATAACACCTTTGCAACTTGGGGAGTGGAAAATAATTTAAAGGATGTGGAGTTAATACCAGGTGAAAGTGAACACACGCATGCACCTCCCTAGTTAATCTGTTTTATTTCCTTCTCTCTCTGTCTCTTTCCCTTTCTCTCTCTCTATCTATCTGTATGTCCCTCCCTCTCTCTCTCCTTCCCCCACAGTTTTCTATGCCGGCAGCACCTTTTTTCAACCTTGATGTTATACTGCTCGAAAACTAAGGACCTACCAACCCAAGTGAGATATAAAATCATTATTCTTTTTAATGCTGGCCAGCAAGGTGAGGCAAGGGAATTCCATGTGCTGCAAAGGATGTAATGTCCTTGTATGATGAGAAAGTCAACACTCTAAATGAATAAAGCTGTACCACATTAAAAGTATCCTTAGTTGGATAAAACCTCTCTTTTTGTTACCTCTTACATATTATTTCAATTTCAATCACAAACAAAATTGAACTATTTTCTTGTAACTAGCATTTTTCCTTGCTTGCCATGTGCCTTTCTTTTAGGAACTATACTTATATTTCCTTGTTGCTGTCTGGCATTGATAGGTAAACTAAAGAACTGTGCAGAGTAGTAAAATAAGTAAGTGAACAAATAACAAGACATTAAAAAATTCAGTTTAGATTCCTTTGGATTTCACTTGCTCTGTAAGTACACTTTTGTTCCAGGTAAATACAATAATGATCTATAGACTAACAATCTATATTTCTTGTCATCTATTTTGGCAAAGCAATTGTCCGCTATTACAGGATCTTCCCTTTTTCCAGAATCAAATTATATGACATGGTACATTCTTACAAATTCTATGAAACCTTAATAGGTGGTCCTATTACACAATACAAAAATAGGTTATGGCAAAAGTACACACTCCTAGCATAACTGTTTTCCCAAGAGCAATAAACCACACACCTATGCTACACAGGCCAAATTAAGTGAGTAGCAAGGAGCTTTATTATTATCATCATTGTTATTATTATTATTATCATTGCTACTGTTGTCCTGATCAAAATCATTAAAAATATCATAACTATTACTATCAATATCATTTCAACTATTGTTGAAAGTAAACCTGAGAATTGCCAAAGTATGCTGGGTAAACCACTGCTATTTGTGACTAATTGTTCACTGTAAAAGAGGGCCTAATGGGTGCTCTATAGCAATGTTGTCCAAACATTTTCACCTATTGTACTCTTTATTACTTTCTTGTACTATTACACCCCCCCTCATCTGTACTATATACACCCCCCCCCCCTCATCTACAATGGCTAAACAAACTATTTTTTTAGGATTATACAAATAATATACTTATTATGAAAAGGCTGCATTGCCGGACTGTTGGTCAGTACATTCAAATTTAATACATGAATAAAAAAGATGATTCATAGAACATGTGACTTTGTGTGTGTGTGTGTGTGTGTGTGTGTTCCTTGTTTGTTCACATACCCTTATGATCTATGCTGCGTACCCCCAGGGGTATGCGGACCCCATTTTGTCAACACTGCTCTATAGAATGTTCCTACAAGGAAGGAAAGGGAAAGAGCAATATTACCTGACAATTGCTGTTCCCATATTCATTATGACATTATGTAGGTTAACAGCACTGGAGTGAGCATTTTCCTGGGTCATAGTGGTGGTTGTGTTAAACTTCGGCAGCTCATGGGATTCTCCATATGCATCAAGGATTAAAGCACTGGAAAAGGAAGATTCATTACAATCAATCTTACAGATGGAGATATATAATAAAATAGGAGGATGTGGGCATGACCTAAGTACAAAGATGTAGGCAGAAATGAAACAAATATGGTAAATGATGAAAAAAGGCAAGAAATACAGAAAAAAAAAAAAAAAAAAAAAAAAAAAAAAAAATATATATATATATATATATAATAATAATAATAATAATAATAAATAAGTAAATAAATGAATAAAAATAAATAAAGGAAAGCCTCTACTTACGTGAAATGCGTGATGTGCATGCCAACGTGGTTGATCATCTCCTGCACATTGTTAATTTCATTGGTGTTTTGTCCCAAGGCTTCTTCTCCAAACCCTGCTTCCTCATGAGTATCTGTCATTCTTGGAGGCGTTAAGGCTTCCTTCATTGTAGCATCTGGGGACAGCGAGACTGATTCTGAATGGATAGGTGTTATGAACTTCTTGTATGGGTCCTCCTTAAAGAAGTTGTAGAGCAACTCCACATTTTTTTTGAGGATTTTGATATCCTCCTCCTCCTTGATGTTTGCTTTGAGTGTCAACCGGATCTTCTTCATTAGGTTCTGCAAGTCCCTAGGGAATTTCTCAATCATCACAGCAAGCCAGTGCTTGTCCCAGCAAAAGAAGATCTCCTGCAGTGTCCAGGGGGGTTTGTGGATCACAATTGACATCCACATGTCTCCATATGCCTCAATCATGATGTGCTCCAGGATCTGTCCAAGAGTTGCATGCAAGGATTCTATGATGTCTCCCAAGTGTCTGGTGTTCTCGAGACTCAGGCGACTACCAGCAGGATGTTTTGGTGTCCTCTGTTTATGAGATGCTTTGCTGGGAGTCATTCTCGCTTGCTTCAC